TTGCTTCTGCTGTTGTTAACAGACACTGATCCAGAGAATTGGGGTAGTTTGGTGGAACCTTATAAATCACCCGGAAGGCTTCGTTGGGGGCCACACGATAGCCTAAATCAACAGTGTGCGCGAGAATAGCGCTGTTTATGTTCCTGACTCTACCTTTTCTCAGCCGTGTATCTCGTTTCCATATAAATGTATTGGCCTGCTGAGAATTCTTCGAAAGTGCACTTATGCTAGCCCACTGTTCTTCTGATTATCTTGCCTACTTATTGCTTGTCAGTATGCGATCACATGGCCGGGCTGTAGCTCACAAACGCAAGACACAGCGGGACCTTACAAGCAGGCTACAGAGGGATTTTGACGCTCCTCAAGGTTATTCGGTCTGGTGATTCTTTTTCTGCCCCATCGACTGACTTCGTCGTTGAATCGTGCCCGTGCGGTTAAACCTCTGTGGCCATTTTGTCCTGGACTTTGTGTATGCAAGACTACATAAGCTGCAGGCAGGCCTAAATGCCTGTTGTTGGGGTTTGTACCTGGGTAACACGTCTCAAGTGTTAGTCGTTCCCTATTTGAGTTGCCCTCACCGAAGATGGCCAGTTTCTGAAGTATGGCAACTTCAATTCCTGTTCGATGTTGAATATTTAGCGTTTTGAAAATGGTAAGCTGATCAAGCTCCCTGAAACTTCGGCAGTTTAATTAATCTGCCCTCCCACCTTCTCGACTAATTATCCTGGAGCTCTGAACTTTGACGATCCAAAGGATTACACTCCTAACGTAAATGTAATAATGAACAAAGGATGACCAATTCATTTTACAGAGACGTCGCTTTTTTCGCCTGAGCAGCAGCTCATCAGTGTTAGCACAAGGGCAACAAACGGGTGGGGTGGTTTGTACCATCTCAACCTTGCAAACTTCCAGGATGCCCTCTGGCGGTGTATTTATGCTTGATTGGAAATTGTGCAATGGATCTACCACAATCCAGTTACAATGTTCTGTTGCCAACTTAATTGGTTGGCTTGGGAATATGCCATGTGATTCTGTCGGGTGGGGCCTAATTTGATAAACCAAAACTAGAACGTCTGCAACCCCCTTGCAATGCCCGCAACGTCTCGTAACACGAACCCGAAAATGTATGCGCTATAAAACATACTACTACCTATTTCCCGGTAATATTAGTTGTTTATAATTGTTTGGTGAAAGGCACTTTATGCATATTCACTTGTCTCTTGCCAGGTTATTTTAGTAAATGGGACGTTCAAAGACCTTTGCATACCTTTCCCTCAATAAAACTGACCTCAAAGCGTTTGAAGCTTTCTCCATGAATTTCCTCAGAGATCCTAACGGAACCGGTGTTTGCAAAGTAAGGTGGCCGAATCCCCTGCCTGAGGCCACAA